TCTGTTGCTTTCAGGCTGAAGACCCAAGGCCTGACACGATCAGGTCTTCTAGGCTCCAGACTCATTGGTTCCACCCTGCCATCCATCCCTGCTTCAAGCCGTCTGGCTGTTGTCAGGATCTCAGTTCCACCAGTGCACCAAGTTCTTCCCTGCCTCAGCCTTGGCATAGGCTTAAATCTCTACCCCCTTCCTTCTTTTAATAACCCCTGCTTTCCTTCAGTTTTCAGCCCTTAGGGAGCTTTCTGTGACCCTGACAGGTGGGATCTCTGGCACATGCTAATCCAGCATTCCTGGTCCTGCCATATTCTGGGCACTTAGCCACCCCCTATGCCCTGCTGCTAGTCTCTTTGCTCCTGTAATTCATCTGTCTGCCCCTTTTTACTACATGCTCCATGAGGGGGACCAGCTATGTCTTGTTTGCTCTTCATTGTATCCCAACACCCAACACAAGGTTGGCTGCCTACAGGCAGTAGCTGCCTGAGAGATGAATGAATGCCTGCCTGGTACTGGGAGCCAGGGCGTAGTCTCTGTCCTGCCTGCTGTGAGCCTACATTCCTGGTCCCATGGCCTTGCTGTGTCCCCAGGAGGCGATCCAACTGGATGGGGAGATCCTCTTCTCACTGCTGCAGAAGGTGTCACCCGTGGCCCACAAGCACCTCAGCAGGCAGAAGATCGACCCACTGCTGTACATGACAGAGTGGTTCATGTGTGCCTTTGCCCGCACCCTGCCCTGGAGCTCTGTGTTGCGCGTCTGGGATATGTTCTTTTGCGAAGGTACTGGGTTGGGCTCAGGGGAGCACCCCTGCTTCTAACCCAGCCCAAGGGGGCCTCTATTTCCAGAGAAATTCCTTACAGGCCCCCTTACCACCCCCTCATGCAGGAGTCAAGATCATCTTCCGTGTGGGACTGGTGCTGCTGAAACATGCATTGGGCTCCCCTGACAAGCTCAAAGCCTGCCAGGGCCAGTATGAGACTATCGAGCAGCTGCGGAGCCTTAGCCCCAAAATCATGCAGGAGGCCTTCCTGGTCCAGGAGGTATGACCCACACCCTTCCCTTACCCCTGGGTGGGAGCAGGAGACATGGGGGTCCTTTGGAAGGGGCCTTGTAGCTCTGCCCTTGAAGGTGAGTCACTGGTGTCAGGCCTGGTGCTCAGCAGCTTAGGATAGTATGGGTAGACCTTATCCTCCTGTCTCAATGAGAAGACAGGGTCACAGAGAGGCCTAGGTTTGCAGGGCCTCCCAAGTTCTGAACCACTTTGGAATGAAAGAAGCTGCAACTCATCACCTCTCTTTTTCCCTGGTACCACATCCATGGCCTTGGCTTTATTTTCCCTTTTTTCTTTCTTTTGTGCAATTTTGTCTCTCAGGGGCTATACTTTGGTGACGTATAGTTGGGCAAGTGGACTCATGAGTTGTGGGCAGCTTTCTCCATAGAGGCAATGGGCCTCAAGTGCCTGGCTCACCTGGCACTCAGCTCTGGGACTTGTGATCACCACAGGAACCAGACCCCCATTATTCCTAAGGTCAACCATTAGTGACCAAGACTGGAGGACACTGAGGGAGAACAGACACCAGGCTGGGAGACAGAGGGGAAGTTTCTTCCTGGTCTTATCTGCCTGTCACCATCCACACAGGTGGTAGAGTTGCCAGTGACAGAGCGCCAGATTGAACGTGAGCACCTCATTCAGCTGCGGCGCTGGCAAGAGACCCGGGGTGAGCTGCAGTGCTGCTCCCCGCCCAGGCTGCATGGTGCCAAGGCCATCCTGGAGGCGGAGCCAGGCCCCCGGCCCACACTGCAACCCTCACCATCCATCCGCCTGCCCCCGGATGCCCCCCTCCCTGGCTCCAAAGGCAAGCCCAAGCCACCCAAACAGAGCCAGAAGGAGAAGGAGCAGTGGAAGCAGGCAAAGGCAAGTGGGCAGCTGGACAAGCCCCCAGTCCCAAGTCAAGCCAAGGTGGCAGCTGCTGCAGGAGATGCATGTCCCCCACAGGATGTACCCCCAAAGGATCCAGCCCACCAGGACTCAGCCCCGCAGGACTCAGCTCCCCAGGATTCAGCCCACCACCACTCCCAGGATTCAGCCCACCACCATTCCCAGGAGAGCCTGACGTCCCAGGAGAGTGAGGACACCTACTTGTAACCCTGGCAGCTCAGGCCTGTGGCGTGGGGTCTCCACATACCTGACATACCTACACGGTTCATGAACTGACATTCGAGGGCCAGCCCACGCACTGAGGGCCCAGCTGCCTGGCCACTGGGTGGCAGAGAGTCTGGCTGGCCCAGCACAGATTCTGCCTGAGCCTCCTTATTTATTTTCTCCAGAGTGGAGCTTGGGCCAGCCCAGCTGGGACAGGCAGAAGTGAGGACCCATGGGTGGTGCCTCACTCAGCCCCCTCCTCCTGGGGGGATGCTCCCCAGGGCTAGGGTGCTGTTGTGAGGAGAGAGGGTGGGGTAAAGGGTGGGGTGCTCTTTGTGTAAAATAGAAAAATGATTTTGTACAGAAATAAACAGGCTTGTGTAGAGAGTTGCTGTGCAACTAGGGACTGGGAAGGAGAGCTACCTCTGTGCTCAGTATCTCCTCTGTGCCCTATAGAGCCCCCCATCCTTGCCCCAGCCCAGCACCAGGGCCTCTCTAGAAATGATTTTGCCATAAGGATGCCAAGTCCAGGGCCAGTCCTGTTGCTGGCCCCCACTTTCTCTCACCCTATCCACTCTTCCCCATGTCCACCAGCTGCCATAGATGAGGGTCACCGGAGCTAGAGCCCAGTGCTGGAGCAGAGCAGGGGCCTGCTTCCCAGGCCTTGATATCTACCCACCTCTGACGGGGAGGGGCTCCTTAAGAAGGTCTTTTCAGGGCCTTCCTCCACCAAGGCCTGACCTGGATACCACTTCAGATCCCAGTAAGGGTCTGAGTGTTCATTTAGGTTGAGTGCTGGAGCCAGGGGTGGGGGACCATGAATGCCGTTACATGCTAAGTCCAGACCTCCACTTTAGGTAGAGGGGTGAGGGGAGAAGTTTGGGTCTTTGATAAAAGGCTGCCTGTCATTTCCTGGTGCTCAGCATGTGCCAGGCTGGGCTGGTTATATCACCTGCTGATCAGGTAGGCTCTATTATTATCCCCATTTTACAGATGAGCAAACAGGGGAGCTGAGTGGGAAAGATGAAGCTGATTGATTTGCGCCTAGAGTCCCTCAGTTACCTCTCCTGAGCAGCGTGCCTGGTGACCTGGCAATGCCATTGAGGGCCCAGGCAGGCACTATGGTCACAACCTGATGACTGTGAGGGTAAGGACAGGGTGTCCCTGGGAAAGGCCCTCCCTTCTGCTGAGGAAGCAGCTTTTCCAGTCAAACAATAGCGTCTATTCCTGGCAGGCTATCAAGCTGGGCTGGGCTGGGCTGGGCCATTGTGGGAGGGGGTGGGAGAGGGAGGAATAGAGCCTCCCTAAGAGCTTTCAGGCATCACAGGGCCTGGGCCTGGAACATCTTGTCCTGGTACAGCTGGGGATACTGAGGCCTAGGGAGGTCAAGCGCCTCTGAGTCTATCAGGGCAGGCTACCACTTCCTGCCTCCCACCCCTCACCCCTGTGGTTTCCCACCCCATCTGTACCTGTCATGAGGGGTTTTGAGGACTCCCTTCCCCCTGGCTTTCCAGGGAACAGGCCAGGATGTGGCAGCTGCAGTGTTCCACAGGAGCCCCCTGAGCCAGAGAGCCCAGGGAGGGAGGGTGCTGCCCAGCTTCCATCCACCTACAGTAGAGGCTTCTGAGCAGACAGGAGGCTTGTGTAGGCCTGCTGGGTCCCAGTCAGGCCTGAGGCCTGCTTTAACCTGTTTGGTTCAAAGCTTCAGTTCTGAGGCCTAAGGATGCTTGGGCCAGACAAAGGTCCCCCAGAGCATGCTCTGTCTGTCTTGCTACAGAGCCAGCCTAGGTATGCTGATGCCTGCTTAGACTTTGAAGTCTTCTTAGACCTGAGGCAGCCTGAGCCGAACACATTCTAATGTTGAAATGAGCCCAAGTTGGTCCTAACAAGCCTCAGATCTGGGGCATCTGCCAGTGCTGAGGGCCTCTCTGGGCATGAAGCAAGTTTACATGTGCTCAGGCCAACTGGGTTCTGCTAATGGCTCACTCTTTGGGAGGTCTCAACAGGGCTCAAGTCTGAGATCTGAGTACCCATGAGCCCCAGATGCATGGGAGTGTCTACTGAAGTCTGAGCCTGGGGCATCCCTGGCCCAAGCGCTTAGTCGTGAGGGGTCTCAAGCCATAAATAAGCCTGGCCACCTTCATTACCCTACCCTACAGTATGTTGCTCAGACATAAGTGGCTGGGGCCCTCCCTATCTCTATGACCCCCGTGAGTAAGTGCATTCTTCCTCCGCAAGAGGAAGAGGGAGAAAGGCAGCAGGACACTTCGTTGGGAGAGAATCACAGGGTCACCAGGGCTTTACAGCATACCCCTCCATACTCCAGAGTTTTGGAGGCGACACTCTGGTCCCAGCTGAGCCCTGGTTCGCCTCACGGCCCTTCGGAGCCTCAAGGATATCAATCATAAGACCCATATGGGGACCCGAAGGACAAAAACCTATTCCACACCTCCCCCATGCTCCCGACCCCAGCAAGGCAGGAGGCCTGCGGAAAAGCCGGCTGAGGGGGCGCGGCATAGGCGGGGCCTGGAGGACTCAATGGGGCGGGATCAGCCTAAAATCTCCAGCCAACGCTGAAGGGGCGGAGTCATCGGGGGCGGAGCTCGGCGGGCTGGAACACGAGGGAAGAGGCTCTGGCCTCAAAAAGGAGGCGTGGCCACTCCAGATAGGCCGCTCATTCCTGAGGGCGTGGCCGTCAGGGAGGTGGACACTGCATGGGGCTAGGAAGATCCACGGCTTAGCGGGCGGCGTGGAAGCGGCTGCAGAGCGGCTCCTTTAAGCCCCCGGCACCGCCCCCACCGCCCCGCCCCCCGCGGCGGTCTGGGTCTGGTTGGCGACCCGGTCGGGTCCGCGCGGACCGTGATGGAGCTGCACATCCTAGAGCACCGGGTGCGGGTGCTGAGCCTCGCCCGCCCAGGTCTCTGGCTCTACACCCACCCGCTCATCAAGCTACTCTTCCTACCCCGACGCAGCCGGTGCGCGCCCGGGTTCGGAGGCATAGATGGGGGTGGGCTTCGCTGTTGTTCCGGGACGGGGTCGGGAGATTAACATAGCCGCGGGGCAAGCGGGAGCGGGCGGGGAGGGCCCTTCTCCTCTC